ACACACACACACACACACACACACACACACACACACACACACACACACACAGTCACTGTTCTTCCTACCTGAGTCCTTAGAGCCAGGACTTTCCGCTGCCTCCTGTGTAGTTGCTGGTTCTACGGGTGTTGCCATACATGCTGACATCTGGGGTGTGTGTGTGTGTGTGTGTGTGTGTGTGTGTGAGGTGAAGAACCCAAGTGAATAACCAGCTTGACTTCTCTATATTCTGAGTCCAGTATGTGGTGTCTTCAGTAATGGGGCCTTACTGTCAAGTCCTGGACAACAGTAACAAAGGGTATTGGCAATAGCATAGAATGCTTAGGTGCCTGTGGGGGTTATCTATCTATCTATCTATCTATCTATCTATCTATCTATCTATCATCTATCTCTCTATCCCTTCATGCCTCCTTCCATCCATCCAGGTCTCTCTCTATATATATATCTATTTTTTGATTTTGTTGTTTTTTTTTCCAAGACAAGGTTTCTCTGTATAGCCATGGCTGTCCTGGAACTCATTATGTAGACCAGGCTGGCCTTGAACTCACAGAGATCCATCTGACTCTGCCTCCCACATGCTGGTCTATGGGGCCTTATTGGTCAACAACCCACAAAGAGATAACCCATTCCTGGCACTGGAGTTTGCATTTGCTAGCAAGTAGTGTCTAGTGGGGTACTGTGCCTTTTATGGGCGGCTCCATTAAAACTAACTGTTTTAATTTATGTGTGTGAGTGTTTTGTCTGTAGATATGTCTGTGCAGCAGAGTGCATACCTGGTGTCTTTGGGAGCCAGAAAATGGCAGCTGATCTCCTAAAACTGAAGTTGAGACAGGTGGGTGCTGGAAATAAACTCTCTGGGGAGAAGTCAGCCTTCCAACTGCTGAGCTGTCTCCAGTACTCCTTATATATGTGTATATTTCAGGAATCTTCTATGGTAATAGGGTTCCATATGGCTTTTCCAAGAGGCTTGTAGTGTTAGTTCCCCCTCCCTAGAGTCTCTTCTTTACCTCCCGTTCCCCACCCAGATTCATCCCTTTCTGGTGGTTTGAATATGCTTGGCCCAAGGAGTGGCACTATTAGGAGGTGTGGCCTTGTTGTAGGAAGTGTGTCATTGTGGGGGGTGAGCAAAGAGACCCTCCTCCTAGCTGCCTGGAAGTCAGTCTTTTCTCCTGGCTACAGCTGGATTAAGATGTATAACTCCAAGCTCCTTCTCTAACACCATGTTTGCCTGCAGGCTGCCATCTTCCCACTGTGATGATAATGGACTGAACCTCTGAAACTGTAAGCCAGCTCCAAAGATTCTGCTCCTTCTTCCTCCCTTTATCTGTCCCTTGTCAGGTAACTCTAAAAGTCCCACCTCTGCCTCCCTGCCACGGCATTGGCTGTTACTGACCAATCAAAAACAACTGAGGACAGGGACCCTCAGCATCTGGACGGTAGATTCCCATGTGATTCTGGGAGCCGAATTAAGACAAAACATTAGAACCAGTCCCCAGCAGAGACCCTTCTTGTTCCATTATTCCCCTTTAACTTTGTGAACCATTTTGTCTTCTAAAAAGCTTGAAATCCCTCTGAGGCCCTTTAATAACTTCCTGAGCTCTGTGAGTATTCCACATGTAGCACATATCTGAAGATTCCAAGCTAACGTCCCCAAGTGAGAGAAAACATGACATCTGTCTTTCTGAATCTGGGTAACTGTACTCAGAATGGTTTCTTGTTTGTTTTTGGGTGGAGGCCTGTAGCTAGCAGTTAAAGCCCAGAATGTTTCTCATTCCATCCATTTGTCTGCAAATTTGTTTTTCTTTTTGCTTGTTTGTCTCTTCCTTCCTTTCCTTCCTTCTTTCCTTCTTCCTTCCTTCCTTCCTTCCTTCCTTTCTTTCTTTCTTTCTTTCTTTCTTTCCTTCTTTCTTTCTTCCTCTCTTTCTCTCTTTCTTTCTTTTTTTCAAAGTTTCTCTGTGAAACAGGCCTGGCTGTCCTGGAACTCACTCTGTAGACCAGGCTGGCCTCACACTCACAGAGATCTGATTGCCTCTGCCTCCCAAGTGCCAGGTTAAAGGCACGCATCACCACTGCCTGGCTGCCTGTGAAGTTCTTGATATCAATTTTAAAAACTTTCAAAATTGATATGTGTAGGTCACATGTGTGCTGGTGCCCTCAGAGGCCAGAAAGTCATCTCTTGGAACTGTAGTTACAGGTGGCCCTGTCCCCACCTGATGTGGCTGCTGGGACCCAAATCTGGGTCCTCTGGAAGAGCAGTAAGTATTCTTATCTGTTGAGCCATCTCTCCAGCCATATTCTCTCCAGCCCCAGTTTATACTCTTACAAGCTGAATAATAACCGGCTGTGTAAATGGGCCACATCTTCACCACCCATGCATCAGCTGATGGACGCTGTTTCCATTTCTCGACTCCTGTAAATAGTACAGC